AAGTTCCAGTGGTCGTGTCTCCTGGGAATCAGCAGTTGCACACAGTAACACTCCAAACGGTGCCACTTACAACGGTAATAGCCAGCACAGATCCATCAGCCAGTGCTGGATCTCAGAAATTTATTTTACAAGCTATTCCATCATCACAGCCCATGACAGTACTGAAAGAAAATGTCATGCTACCATCACAGAAGGCAGGCTCTCCTCCTTCAATTGTCTTTAGCCCTGCCCATGTACAACAGGTTCTTACTAGCAATGTTCAGTCCATTTGCAATGGAACCGTCAGTATGACTTCATCCCCGTCCTTCAGTGCTACTACACCTGTGGTGACCTTTTCTCCTCGAAGTTCACAACTCGTTGCTCACCCTCCTGGCACTGTAATTACTTCAGTTATCAAAGCTCAAGAGACAAAAACTCTTATACAAGAAGTGGAAAAAAAGGAGATTGAAGATCATTTGAAAGAAGATACTGAGAAAACTGAGCAACAGCCACAACCTTATGTGATGGTGGTATCCAGTACCAATGGATTTGCCTCTCAGGTAGCTATGAAACAAAATGAACTGCTGGAACCCAACTCTTTTTAAATAATGTAYCAAAGGATTTATGGATGATTGTTTTATAATTGAACTCATTTTCAGTTGTTTGTAAACTGATTCTAAGATAAATCTACAGAGGTTCCTAATTTTGCGATTGTTAAAAAAAATAATTGAGTTAATTTTGATTTTGTTAGTTGAGGGAGTAAAACCCAAGTGTTTCTCTTTATTCTCCAAATGTTTCAGAATTCAATTGTGAAGGAACAGGCATTTTATACTATGAAGATATCCTTTTGAGATTTTTTTTTCAGTTGTTATACCATAAACATTTTTAAAGTTTCTTTTCTAATTTTACATTGTATTAGCTGTTTTGATTCTTTTGTAAATACATTACTTAAATGTAAGGCAACAGGAAATTTATATAGGAAGCATTTTCATTCCACTTGTATAAGTTAAGTCTTGACTCTAAAATGCAAGCAATTTATTTTATTCTTTGTTAAAATTATGTCTCTTAGATTGACTTTAGTTGGTTGTACTGTATAACAAACTATAAAAAAGTAACATTAAAAATTGAAATATGCCCATGATATGGCTCAACTTGTTTCAGCAGAGTAGTATAAAATATCATCCTAAGAGTGGTTCTCCCCCTAGTTAGCTGTGTAAACTTGGACAATGCAAACCACTTGATTCTTTTTGGGCCTCAGTTCTCATAAGGGACGCATAGGAGTAAATGATCTCTAGTTTCCCTTCTAGTTTTAAATTTTTATTCTAACACCTGTATTTTAAAATTATCAATTAAAACATTATCAAGTTATTTCCTAAAGCAATATAGCTTAAATATTATAGAAAAATAAGTGATCCGTACAAAATTCACTCTATTATCGATAAAATCTGCCATAAATTCATCCTAATTTTTTTTCATTAATTCTTTAGATCACTGTGTACTGTGGTCCATTATAGTAAACTTTTGTTGCTGAGTGTTAAATGGTATACTGCTATTCTAAGAAAGTCAAAGCACATTCTTAAAGACCAAGAAAACAACTTGAGTCTTGAGCTAATCTGGCTTGAGTAGTCATTTGTTATAAAAGCATAATAGCTTTATATTTTGGATTATTTTTTACTGGGGGTGGAGAGGGGAAGGGAATTGCATACACATATATCCAAGTTTCTGAAATGAAATAGTTTTTAGATTTTTCAACTGTAAATAATGTACATTTAGTGTCACAATAAAAATTGTTTTCTGCAAACTTTTCTAGTAAAAATTTTGTAGATGAAAAAAATCATGTTTAGAGGTCTAATGTTATATGTTTTCATATTATAAACTGAATTTGTATTTAAATGAAAATTTAAATTTTGGAATCCTCTAAACATTTTTTGTATCTTTAATTGGTTTATTAAATAAATCGTGAAATTCTCTATTTGTTTTTGGGCAAAAATTTCTTAACAAGTGTACAGAGATTGTTGGCTAGTATTTACAGTGTTACTACTAAATGATTATATATATATATACAAATTTATTTCTCAGGTGGGTGCAGTGGAAATTTAAGAAATTTCAGAGACTGGGGCAGAAGGATCAGTCTTGGCAACTGTCAAATATTTTTTTTTAAATGGATTGAGGGTTGGAGCTGGGGATGTAGAGGGCCCTTGTGTTCAATCCCCATAATGGGGTGGGATCCTTGTCACAGTTCTGGAGACCAGGAAGTATGATACTGGCATTTCTTGAGTCATTCATGACAGCAGAAAAGGGGGCTGCTTTTATAACAGATCTACTCTGGTGATGATAATCTTAAAGGTCCTACCTCTTAACAGTTACAGACATTCAAACCATAGCACCCAAGCTCCAAGAATCGGGTAAAATAAAATATTCTCAACAATATTAAACACACTTGTAAAAAACAAGTTTTTTTTTGTGTGTGTGGTGCTGGGGATTGAACCCAGGGCCTTGTACATGCAAGGTAAGCACTCTACCAGCTGAGCTATATCCCCAGCCCAAAACAAGTTTTTTAATTAGAAACTTAATTGCTAAACTTGGAAAACATTAAGAAAAATATAAATAAAATTGTAATTCAATACCTATACCCAGCAGTAACTTTCACTTATTTTCTCATTCTAATTATTCTAAAATGATTTTTAAGAGTATATAATATTAATATACTATAATCCAGGCCAATAAAATCTTTTTAACCAGACTAGTATTGCAGTTTTTCACTGCATAAATCACAATATAAGTGATTTATGTCGTTTACTTATGTCGTTAAAACAAATACCTAAGACTATATAATTTATAATAAACATAAATTTATTTTTGGAGAATGTGAATTTCAATATTAAGGTACTGGCAGGTTTTAGAACTCCGATTCCAAGATGGTGGCTTCAACATTACATATGACAACAAAGGGTGCTATAGAATTTAAATAAGGAGAAATGAAAAACTTCAATAAATGTGTCTGGATCAATTGGATATTCCTATGGGAGAGAAAATGAACTTTAACCCCCTAACCTCATACCTTTAACAATTCAAGGCAGATAGTAAACATGAAAAGTAAAAGCATCTAGAACAAAGTATTTTCACAGGTTTGGTGTAGGGAAATATTTAAATGAGACACAAAAAGGCACTGAACATACAAGCTGGATTACATTTTTACAATTATTAAGAGGATGAAAGACAACTGAGAATATATCTGCAATAGATGTATCGAATAAATTACTCCATTCTAAACCATATGAACTACTATAAACCAGTAAGAAAACTTCAAAAAAATGGTTATGTAAAAGATTTCAAAAGGTCTCATCATTATGGTCTTCATTTCTTAGTGTATGCTGTGAACTCCAAAATTTTATATCCAAATGAATACTCTTCACCTCTGTACAAATCTGCTTCATTTCAGTTTTATAATTTAGCTACTGGTATAATCTTTCACCAATTACCCAAACCAAAAACTTGTTTCCCTTTCAATTTCATATCTTTTTCTTTTTGTGTTTGTGTGTGTGTGTGTGTGTGGCGGGGGGGGGGGGGGGGGCTTACAAGGAATTGAACTTGAGGGCATTCGCCACTGAGTCACATCCCTAGCCATATTTTGTGTTTTACTTAGAGACAGAGTTGCTTAGGGCTGGCTTTTGCTGAAACTGGCTTTGAACTCGCAATCCCCCTGCTTCAGCCTCCCAAACTGGCTGGATTACAGGCTTGCTCCACCATCTGTGCCTGGCAAGTCCTGGCAGTTTTATCTCAAGATTATCTGAACTCATACTTTCCCTCTCCTACTCTAGGGTGGGTTAGAAATCATTTCTTTGACCTATATTAAGAGTTATTTCCCAGCAACTATTTTCCTTGTCCCTTTAATCATTCATTCACAGTACAAAAATTTACCTAAAAAATGCAAATCTATTGATGACTCTGCAGATTTAAAAAACACCCATGCTTCTTGGCACACCACACCTTGCCCATTATGATCTAGCTCTAGTTTCTCTGACTGAATTTAAATTCAAATTTTAGCGATTATGTTTTCAAACACATTGTTTTTGTCCGAATTAATTGCCTTTTCCCTCCTTTCATCAACTCTCATCTTTCAAGGACGAGCTCAGGTATCAAAGTTAGTCTTTGAGGAAGTTAACTTTGTAGTCTTTAAGTGCGCCTTGTTATCACTTCTTTCATTCTGTCGCTTAGAACAAAACGGATTTAAACTTCTTGAGGGCATTAACATCTTTGAGACTCGGAGTTTAGTGTGGACTATGGATGTACCAGACACTCAAATTACTTAATTCTACAGTGCCTCTCACTCTCCCTCCAGTTCCCCATTCTAACCCCGTCCTGTGAAACTTGCTGGAAGCTTCCTAGTTAGATCTACTTGGGCCAGAGAACGGTGGAAGAGGGCTTGCTTGGCCAACTGGGTTGGAAAATAAAGCAGCAATGAGACAATGTTAGGAAACTTTCCTCCCTTGGGTGCTTTCGGATTGAAAAGATTGTTCTTGGTCTGCGAAGCCGACTAGGAAGAAAGGTTGGGCCACAGACTGATGGACACACACGCCCGGGAAGAAAACAAAGTTTTCCTCGGTCACCTCTCTAGGACCAAAACAACTTCCGGTGAGTAGGGACTCGGCGAGTACTCAGCGAAAAGATCGCGAGAATCCACGCGCCATCCGGGACTCTGCTCCCGGAAAAACACTCGCAGTCGCGAATGACGTCACGGCTCACGAGAGGTTGGGCTTCTGCGGTAACTATGATGAGAACTTCAGTGAAAAATGTCAGTGCAGTTTGTGTTATTAACAGACAGGCATACACTCCAATCGCCAAGAGTTCATGAGGGATTACAGTGCGTTACAAAAGTGCTTCTGAAAGACTATTCCGGAAGGCTCTCTTAGAGTGCTGGCGGGGTTTGGGCGAACATGGAGGAAGAAAGGGCAAATGAGTGTGCTGGCGGCTTCCGTAACCATGGCTTCCAGGGAGAGGGGAGGGACTGTCAGAGCCTGTCACGGGACCCCAAACACGGCGGCGACAACCGGTCCTCCACTTTCCCAGCTGGCTCTGCGCCTGCTGGTCGCCTCCCCTCCCCCAGCCGCACGCTGCGTGCCTGCTYGTTGGCTAGTTAGGACGGAAGCTCGGTTGGTGTTTCTCCAGAAGTTTCCCCCGTGGGCGGCGGCGGTCCTGGTAACTGCGGTAGTACCAGCTCCCCTGGTAGCGACAGTGGCTGTTAGGGATGGCGGCGGCCGCAGCAGAACCTGCAACAGCTCAGCGGTGCGTGTTTTCCTTTCCTTTTGTTGTTTATTTTAAACGCCCCCCCTTTGGTTAGCGAGCTCTGCTGAAGTCGTTGTTTTCCCGGCAGGTTTTTCCAGTGCTTTTCAGATGCTTTGATCGAAGAGGATCCCCAGGCGGCGTTAGAGGTGAGAGACCATTTCTTTCTCCTCCACTCTGTTCTGGCTTAACCCCGCCTCTTCCCAGCATTGCCTTTTCGGGACGGAGGCTACAGTTTTTACTGTGTCTCCACCTCAGTATTGAGATCCTCAGTTTCTTTTCTCAGCCCCACACGGACCCTTTTGGGCCAGACCCCTGCTCTTACTCTTCTTCTCTCCCGGACTCCTGCATCCTGCATCCCCGCAGTTCCTGAGAAAAAACACCTTCTCTGATTTATTTCGTGGGGTCATAGTTGGTTTCAAAGAAGCTTCTTTTCTTTTTTTAAATGGTATTTCTGCCTATAGGAAAAAGTGAAATTTGGGCTTGATGATATTATTTCATTTGACTGTCATCCTTGCCATTCTTACATAACAGGCTCAGTGTTAAGCGTCTGTATGAACTCAGTATAGTAGAACAAAAGCCTTTTCCCATATGTCCCTAAAACTTTCCAGATGTCCTGTAAGGCTCATTATTAATTCGTTTGTTGATAAATATTTTTTTCGAGTTGCAGTGTACAAGGAGTGATTGTTGTGGGTCAGTTCTCTTTATGTACTGGACTAAGTTAGCACTTTGTGTTTTTGCGCTCTGGAAGACCATGAAGTTGTAAAGGAATGTAAAAGTGTTAAGAGTTCAATAAAAACAATTAAMTAGAGCCTAAACTACAACCATGTTAGCCAGGAGTTTCTTGCTTTCAAGTTATAAGTTAGGTTAGCAATACCAGGCAAGAGGACCTTTTTCTTTCCTAGTATGACTTCTAAAAGAATTTTGCTGCACTGTACTTTTGGTCTACTGCTAGAGAACATTCATTCTCAAAAGTGTGGTCTTCAGATCAACTGCAGTATCATCTTGTTAGAAATGCATATTCTTGGGACCCACCACAGACCTGAAATCAGAAACTTTTGAGTAAAAGGAGGGTGATCATGAAATAAATCCAGCTATATTAGGAGGAAATGTTATTTCTTAACCTTGAGATGCCCTCACAAAGTCGAACGGGTAAATGTAAATTATTAAATAATTGGTAACTATAAGTAGGTCCAGAACATTGATGCTGAATATTAGTCTGTTTCCCCAAGGGCTACTTTAGCAGGCCATTTTGGGGTTCAGGTCACTTGCTATCATATTGGTTAAAATCTGTATATTTGGTCAGGAGCTGTACTTAATGGTAGAGCATTTGCCTAGCATATATGAGACCCTGGGCTCACTCCCCAGCCCCCTTCCCTGCTCCACAAAAAAAAAAAAATGAGTATTTTTTACCCAAGACCATCCAATCAGGAATAAGGAAGAAAGGGGCTGTGTAGTGTAAATTGTTTCACATTTTTCTTTCAGTCACCAAACAGCATTTATTAGTGCTGAATGTTCTCCTGGGGGCCAAGACTCTAAAGAAGAAAAGACTACCATGAGGGATTTTACAGTCTTGTGGACAGACAAGTCATCAGATTATTAAAATATAAGATAACTATTGTAATGGGCTTTTGTATGAAGTACAATAAGAGCATAGCAGGATAGAGACTGACTAGTGGGGTTTAAAAAAACAGAGAGGACCAGGGCTGTAGCTCAGTGGTAGAGTGCTTGCCTAGCACATGTGAAGCACTAGGTTGGATCCTCAGCACCATAAATAAATAAATAAATAAATAGATAGATTGAATAAAACATGGAGAGAGGATGGACAGTGGGTATGGGGGGGCAGTTAGGTAAGGGGAAGAACTTCTGATGTCCTCTAGCTCAGTAGGGTAACTGGTTTACAAACAGTTAATTGTATATTTCAGAATAGCTAGTAGAGAGGATTTTGAATTTATCCAATATAAAGAAATGGCATATATCTGAGGTGATAATAACAGTTACCCTGATCTAATCATTATGTATTGTATACATTTATTGAAATGTCATATCTTACTCCATAAATATACAGTTGTTCTGTCAATTAAGTAAAAACACATACACAAGTTTGTACAGAGGAAGTTGCAGTTCAGTAGGCACAGAAAAAAATATGCAAATAGTGTTAGATCATGCAACATAAGGAGGCAAGTCCTTTGGGAGAAAGGCTACACAAATACAGAGGCCAGGCATTTAAGACATTGAGGATTTTCAGTTTTACCATAATCATGCAGATCTCTGAAGAATTCTGAAAGAAATGAAATTACCTGAATTATACCTGCTCTAAAAGCAAAGTAGATAATAGATTGGAGGAGGCACAGGGATTAGTGGATAACAGAAATATAGTGAGAAGTTGTAAGAGGTGAATGTTGAAATCTAGGGCGGTGATTGAGGGCTTGGAGGGGAATTATTTTATGAAAAATGAACTAGACTTAGTGACAGTTTTAATATAAGTTTGAAGGGATGGTTTAAACTTTGAATATTGTATATGGATTGTTTCTGGAACATTTCAGGTGAAGTCTACAGAGAACTGGCTATATGTGGATGTTGCTCAGGAGCACTGGCTAGGCTCAATATAGACTTGAGTCACCAGCATACATCAAAATATATGTGAAGCTCCGAAACTGGCTAGGTCAGAAAATATGCTAGAGAGAATACTAAATATAAATGAGTTTTAGGGAAACAGCTTTAAAGAGGCTAGCAGAATAGTAGATTGAAAGGCCTAGTCAGTATTGTCAGGGGCCACAAAAAATGATCAATTAATGCATTGAATTTGGTAACTGGTGTTATTTATAACTTTGAGAAGATTAAGGACTATGGAGGCAAATATTTTTATATTCTTTGCCAAAGGAAACAAGGGCAAAACCGAATATAGGAAAGACTGAGAAAAGGTGCAAGGAGAAAAATCAGTAGCTTTCAATAATTGGATACTGGATGCCACATGTAGATCTAGGTTAGTTTTATTGGGGATTTTGTTTTTTTGGTACTGGGGGTTTATCCAAGGGATGCTTTACCACTAAGCTACACTCAGTACTTTTTAAATTTTTGAGACAGGGTCTTCCTAAGTTGCTTTGGGCCTCCCTAAGTTGCTGAGGCTGGCCTTGAATTTGCAGTCCTCCTGCCCTGTGTCACTGGTATTACAGGTGTGTGCCACCATGCTTGGCCCAACTGTAACTTTAATGCCTTAAAAAGAGAGTTTTCCTCTCTCTTGTTCAGACTATATTAGGGTTGATATTTGTGAATTGCTGACCTAATATATAACTTTCTCTCTCCTTGCAGTGCTGGGGGTTGAACTTGGAGCCTTTATCATGAGAGGCAAGTGCTCCACTATTGAGCCACAACTCCAGCCCACTAACTAGTTTTCGGTGGACATGTTACAGTGTTTAGCATAGATCTTTACTAAATAATAGCCTTTTGTTGCTGTAATTCAAATTTGGCACTGAAGACCTTGTTTTATCTATTTTATTTTCTTAGACCCATTGTAGACAGCAGTGATTGTCAAAAGAACAGAAAGAAAAAAGCCGAACTCTAAAAACGTGCCATAAGTTAGATGTAAAGACCATAAATCATTATTTTAACTTTACTTTTCCTTGTTTTATTGTATGTTGCTTATTCAAAAGATAAATTGTTTTATTCATGATTTTGTAAGTTTTAAAATCTTATAAAATCATGAATAAAACTTTTATAAGTTTTTTTTTTTTTGAGTGTCAGACTTTAAAGTTTGTACTGTGGTTTTTTGATAACTTTTTTCAGTAACAGTCTAAGTCAGTTGCTTATCTTATTTAACTGAATAACCATAACCAGTTCTCCTTAACCAGAAATTGGATTATGGTTTTAAAGGTCATTTACAGAGGTGCTTTAAAATGCAGAAGCATTTAACTAAATTTTTCTAACTTTTAAAGAAAAGGGATGTGTGTGTGTGTGTGTGTGTGTGTGTGTGTGTGTGTGTGTTTTCCAAATCTTCTCTCTCTACCCTAGTGTCTGGCTTATGTCTCTTCTGTAATACTTCTAAAAGTACTTTATTTTTTTTCTAAAAATACTTTTTAAATTAATCCAATCATCAGTATGATCTATAAGTCTTTTGACTGTAATATTTCTGTTTTCTTACTGAGAAGAAGCTAGAAGTTTGAGTTGAAAATGTGGTTTAGTAAATAAATAAGCTATCTGCTACTTTCAAAATTGTTTTAAAGTTTGGTGCTAGAAATTTTGAGAATATTAGAATACATCAATACAGATAGATTCCTGATAGTTTTGGCAACAAGGAGTAAAAACATGTAACTAAGAGGCAGTGTTTTGTGGTTAAAAGAGTCAGGAAGCCCTGGATTTGAATCCTGTCTTTGGCTGTCTGGTCACAAACTAGGAAGTTAGGGAAGGCATTCTCTGCACGTCTGGGAGAGGTGCATTCTAGTTATTGAGGTAGTTGAGGAGCTTCATAAAGGTCACTGTGGTTGGAAGGGAAGAGCCCCAGGAGATCTTTTCCTATGTAGTTATTTTTCCAGCTACTATCTATATGTTGTGACTATCAAAGGTGTTAAAAGTTTAATTTCTCTAATCTGGGCTTGAAACAGTGTAATCTTTCAGGGKTTTTTGGCATTTACAGAGAATAGGACAGGGCCAGGTAAGCTTAATTTTGTATTTATTGATTCTGTTAACCTCTCTGAGCTCTAGATTTAACTTCAATGATTTATTTTTAAAATTGGATATCTTCCCATTTTCTAGGCATCTCAAATTCTGTATGATCTTTTGAGTCTTCTCCAAATTTGGAGAAATTCTGTGCTGGTCGAAGTATACAAACTAAATTTTTCAGAATAAATGGGGGATAATTTTTAAGTTTCTACTGTATACCAGAAACTGCTAAGTGCTTTACATAAATGTTACATTACATTGTGTTCTTTGAGCATGGAGTGGGGAAAGGGAAGGAAAGATTGATCAACTTTACAAGGAAAAGCTCCCAACTTGTTTCCCATTCTTTTCTTCAAATAGCTTGTAACAATAGGTTAGTTGGTTAAAAGTTATGTTTTAATTAGAATTCAGTGGCTTTAAAAAACATTTACTAACACTCAACATTTTTATTTGTAGGAGCTGACTAAGGCTTTGGAACAGAAACCAGATGATGCACAGTATTATTGTCAAAGAGCTTATTGTCACATTCTCCTTGGGAATTACTGTGGTAACTTCTCTTATGAAGTGTATTATTGTCTCTTCTCTAACAGTTACTTATAAATTTTGTCTAAAACAAACTGAATCCAAAAAAGTTGAGGAAATTTTTGAGGTTTTTTTTTTAAAATATTTATTTTATAGTTGTAGTTGGACACAATATCTTTATTTCACTCATTTTTTTTTTTAATGTGGTGCTGAGGATTGAACCCAGTGCCTCACGCATGCAAGGCAAACGCGCAGCCACTGAGCTGCAACCCCACCCCATCATACAATTTTTAAGTTGGTCTTTCACAACAATCGGTAAAGTAGCCGCAGTTTGACAAACATTATGTTGAGAAACACCTGTTAAGTGTGTCTCTTCGGTGGGTAGAGAATTTGTATGGATTTCAATTATAGTCTTTGGATATACTAAAAAAAATGGTATTATTTCACAGTATTTAAATGAAATGCTCTTTTCCTTTTTTTAATAAAAAAGAATGTATTTATGTATTGTGTAACTTTTTAAAAAATTCTGATTGAGGGTGGGCATTGTGTTGCATGCCTGAATCCCAGGGGCTTGGGAGGCTGAGACAGCCTGGATTGTGAGTTCCAGGCCAGTCTAAGCAAAAGCGAGGTGCTAAGCAACCCAGTGAGACCTTGTCTCTAAATAAAATATAAAATAGGGCTGGGTATATGGCTCAGTGGTCAAGTGTCCCTGAGTTCAGCCCCAGTATCCCTCCCGCCCCCAAACAAAAATTCTGATTGAGAATCCGTAGAGAAGAATGAATATCTTAAGCTACATTTTACATAAATACTATTGATGTGAAAATGGCTTTGTGACACAGAGCTTTATTAATGGAAGAGCTTTAAGAAGGAAGCTAAATATTAGAACAAAAGAAATTTATGAAGGTAATACTTACTTGAATTTTAGCTCAAATAAACTTTCCCAATTTAAGACCATTTGGGACTGAGATGTAACTCAGTGGTAGAAAGCTTGTAAGCAATGTGTGAGGCCTTGGGTTATGTGTGAGGCCTTGGGTTCTATCTCTAGCACTGGGAAAACAACAACAAAACCATCCAACAGATAAAACTGTATGGCCTTTCCGGGAACTTAAGAGTGTTAAGACTGATTCTAGTGTGTAGTATTTGCTAGATCTGTAAATAACTGACTTTAAAAAAAAACTTTTCTTTTTATATACAGATGCTGTTGCTGATGTAAAAAGGTCCCTTGAACTCAATCCAAATAATTCCACTGCTATAATGAGAAAAGGGTGTGTAATGAACTGTTCTTCTTGTTGGGATTGGACTGTAGCTAGTAGGTATTTCATTTTTTGAATGAAGTAATTGTAAGCTTTATGTATAGGTATATGGTAAAATGCTGTATTTATACATAATTTTACAGCTGAGAATTGATTCAGTTTTACATATAACAGTTCTAGTACATTAACTAAAGTAGGAGATTTGTATTTGCTGTGTTTAAATTAGTGACGATTGATGTAACTGCAAGTTATAGATGAAACTGATAGATTTCACATTCCCTTTTTGTTTATCATTTGGAATTTATGGTATTTAACTGACTAGAGAACATCCTGTTCCCCAGCCAAGCTGAATGGGCTACAAATGCTAGGAAAAAAAAATTTTTTTTTAATCTATTTTTTTTAGTTGTAGTTGGACACGATACCTTTATTTTTATTTATTTATTTTTATGTGGTGCTGAGGATAGAACCAGGGCCTCGCACGTGCTAGGCAAGCGCTCTACCACTGAGCCATAACCTCAGCCCTTATTTTTATTTTTTAAACCCAGTTTTTTTTCTGTTGATAAATGGGACTTAATATTTAAGAATTAATTTCTTTGTATATTTTGAAATGAGCAATTTTGTACAATTAAAATCCTTGTGAAGTGACTTTTAAAATTGAATTTTAATGAGAATTATACTAGATGTTACAGTAATTTAGAAAATCTCTTGGCTCATTAGCATACACTTAAATTCTTTCTCTTTGGTGGTTTGACCCTGGCCTGTATTTCCAGCATCTTGGGAGGCTGAGGCAGGTGGATTACAAGTTCAAGGCCAGTCTCAGTAACTTAGTGAGGCCTTGTCTCAAAATAAAAAGGAGGGGGTGGTCTACGAATGTAGCTTAGTGGTAATGCAGATCCGTGTTCAATCTTTGAACACCCTCCCCCCAAAAAAAGAAACCTAACAGTAGAGAATACTAAGAAATTTTTTATTTAGAAAGGGGACTGTTTTCTATGATCTGATACATGTGTTAATTTGCTCTTAATATGTCCATGCAGGATATGTGAATACCATGAAAAAAACTATGCTTCTGCTCTAGAAACTTTTACAGAAGGACAGAAATTAGATAGTAAGTATTAGAGTTATACTCAAACTAATCTATCATTTGTATATCTTAAATACCATAGCTGAATTTTATTAATTTCAATTGTAGAAAGGCAACACCTTTTTTCTTTATTACAGACTTTGAAGGCATTTAAAATGGATTAAATTGGCCTTTCTTTAGCATTTAAATCACAGATAAATCTTACAGTTAAAAGTCAAACTAAATACTGAGTATTCTCTCCATACTGAGTTTGGCTTTATTTTTTTTTTCTAATGGAAAAGTTGTCTTGTTCAAAAGTTTGTTCATTTTTACGTTATTAAGATTGCAAAGATGGGAAATCTGGAAGTGTAAATTTGAGTAAATTCTGAGAGGGTATAGAAGAAATATGGAGCTTTGAGAGTGTTTGAGTTCTTAAACATATCTTTTTGAGAGGAATATGTACATTATCACAGCTTTGTATTCTGTGAACACAAATTGTGAGAGCTGAAAATTTAAAAATCTGTAAAAATATTGAAAGATAACGGGTTGTAAGTAATCTTTTAGAATAATTACAGACTGCCTAATTCTGATTGTACTTTCTATATCTTACAATAGAGTATTATCACAAATCTCTAAAGCATTTTATTTTTAATCTAGTGATAGTTTTGCTTCCTGGGAGAGACTTGCCAATGTCTGAAGATTTTTTTAATTATTATTGTGATTGGTAGATGGGGATTGTGCTCATATTGTCTAGTTACTAGAAGTCAGGAGTGCTACTAAACATCCTATAATGCACAGGACAGCACCCCACCATAAAGAATGTCCGTGCTGAGGTTGAGAAACTCTCCTCTAAAGTATTATATTTTTTAAAAGATTTACAACTTTAATGTTTGCTTTTCTGCTACATACCTACTCAGAAAAAAGGATTTTGGATCCAGCTGTGCAAGTGAAAAATACAGAATTAGAAAGTGATCTGGGCATAATAGTTGTTCTTAAACTTGCTTATTCCAATTTTGGTACATGAATTATGGCTATTCAATAAGCAAGTCAACATGTCTGCTCTTAGCAAGTTTTTAAAGAGTCTAATTGTCTAATACTTTGATAAAATATTGGAAAACCTAAAGAGACAAGAGTCATCCTCTACATTTCTAAGCTTTGTACCTTTTCCCCCTCCCTTTATATGATGGGAAGCTTGGTTTAATTTATTAATTATTTGAATAATAGGTTATTCCATAGGGTTTTTATTTTATTTATTTTTTGTTATTGTAGATGGACAGAACGTCTTTATTTTATTTGTTTATTTTTATGTGCTGCTAAGGATGGAACCCAGTGCCTCACATTCTAGGCAGGTGCTCTGCCACTGAGCTACAGTCCCAGCCCATCATAGGGTTTTGATACACCTTTCCCTAGAATATAGCATGTGTATTTAAAAATTTTATTAAGGCATATGTAGTTTAATTAAGTTAGGAAATTTTAAGTTTTACTGCTTGTCATTTTTCAGGTCTTGCCTGAAGTTACCTTGAATTCGTAGAGTACTTTTAATATTTTTATTTATATATATATATAATTAAATTGTCAATGGACCTTTATTTTGTTTATGAATTTATTTATATGTGGTGCTGAGAATCGAACCCAGTACCTCACACATGCTAGGCAAGCGCTCTACCACTGAGCCACATCCCCAGCCTTTTTAGTAGGGACTATGACTATTTAGATTTCAGTGTTCTGGGTCTCAAGAATAATTTGCTTTTATGTATACATTCACATTGTTACTTTTATATAGTTTGCTGTGTATATAGTCTCTTGGTTGCCATGTAAGTTTTGGAGACATAACAGAACTTCACAAAGTATAAGTAGGAAAGGCATGACAACAAGTAAAATCCCTAAGAGAGAGTAGACAGAATAGATGCCTGCATTGAAGAGCAGGCTGGGGCTAGAAGAGGCTTTTCAACCTCATCCCAGTTGCTGGTTACTAGGTCTCCACCCCACCGTGTTTGATGGCATATTGGGAATCTGATTCGGGTCTGATTTTGTCGGGTGAGAGGATGTTTCTTTAAGAGAAGGGAGGTGGGACAAAATGTCGATTATAAATACCTGAGAAACGAATGAGTTCAGCTGTAGTTAAAACTAATCTAGCATACAAAGCAGAATTTTCCAGGTGAATAACTGAATGTATTGGTAAGTTTATAGTAAAAATATTAGGATTGCGGTGCTCTGCAACATACGGTAGGTATATTTGTCTTTCTTCATTGCTGAATCCCTAGTGCCTAGAACATTGCCTGAGACATGGTAGATATTCCCTACGTATTTGTTAAATGAATATGTTATATTGTACAGATGCGTGATGTTATAGTTAGTTTTTTCTTTGTAGGTGCAGGTGCTAGTTTCATTGCCTGGATTAAAAGGTGTCAAGAAGCTCTGAATGGTAAGTGTGTTATGTAGGCTTCCCATAGTCTTTCAATTCAAAATAGTAGTAAATATTTCAAATGTTTTGGTTTGAACAAATATTATTTTTCATCTCTATAAGTAGTACATAGTCCCTTAGATATTGATTTCTAATGATATGTTGATGTTTGCTTACTTTCTTTTATTGAAAGGGAGATTTGAATGAATTTCTGTGCAATATATCATGATATTACTAAGAAATGACTTAAGGAGGGCTGGGGTTGTAGCTCAGTGGTCGAGTGCGTGCCTAGCATGTAAAATTGGAATAGTACTCCTTAGAAATAAGGAGTCTAACATGACTCCAGGATGCAAAATTAAACCAATTTTTTATTTGAAAGATACAGAGAATTGGCATTCTTTGTATATTTGTGCTACAGAAATTATGTAACTGCCTACAGATGCACTGTTGTCTGAGAATGTTTCCATTTTTATGTTTTATAGGGTCAGAATCTGAGGTGGTAAGTCCATAGTTTTCATTCTTCATTTTTTTACTTCATTAATTTTCATGTATCAAAAATAATTTGAGATAGCAATTGGGATGAGCTCTCTCAGTTAAAAATTTAAGCACTTTGATTTAAATACTAGTTCTTGTAGCAATTGAAATAAAATCATTTTTATGAAATAATTATAAAGGTTTATAGTCATGAAAGTTATTTGGCTGTTTTAATGAATTTAGTGTGTAGATTAAGTTAATTTAGTATGATGATGATGATTTCCTGCCTTTATTATTAAAAAGGCATCACATTTATTTAGTTTTAAACAATTGGATTCACTTGTAGGACTTGTTATGGTTGGCTTAAAACACACGGGGTAAGTAAAATTGGAAATGCTTATATTTATCTTATTCATTGTTAATGTTTGTCATTGGTTTGGACATGAAACTTCAGGTCTTTTCAGTCATTAAAAATTATGGCAGAGTTAAGAGATTTTTATTTTTTAATCAGTTTAAGCTTATATGTAATATATTTAAATCATGGCTAATGCTTTTTTAGTAGTAGTGATTTACATATTTAGTCAAGAAAGAAAATTACAAGGAGTCAGGAGATTTGAGTGTAGTCTTTTTTTTTAAAGACAAGGTCTAAGTTTCCTAGGTTGGTTTAGGATTCAGGATCCTTTTAATGATTCTTCTTTTTCACTATTTTGAATAGCTGGAATCATAGGCATGCTTCATTATATCTGGCTCCTAATACTTTTTATGGGCAATTACTTAACATTTTGAGTTACTTTGTACATTCTCAAAGATTTATTTACATCTCAATCTTTCAAAATTACATTGTGACATTAAGAAAGTCACTTGTTCCCTGAGAGATTTCTTCATGTGTAAACTGGAGCTGAAAGAACTATTCTACATCACACAGGTTATTGTGAGCTTCAGGCAAAATATGTGTATGCATAGTAACAAGGGCTTTGAATATCTGCAAATGTGAGTGCTATCTATCCCTATACATCCATGCTTGCCCATATTCCTAGGTGTGATAGGGAATGAATTGGAAGAGGTCTTTAAAAGTCTACTTTCTATTTTATTGCTAGTAATTTAATTCAGGTTTTATAATTTAAGATTGAGGCTAGGGCTACAAACAGCAGAATGGCATTTGAATTAAAAAAAAAGGTGAGGGGGCTGTGATTATGGCTCAGTGGTAGAGTGCTCGCCTAGCACGTGGGAGGCCCTGGGTTCAATCCTTAGCACCACATAAAAATAAATAAATAGATAAAAGGTATAGTGTCCAACTTCAACTAAAAAAATTAAAAAACAAAACAGAAGAAGAAGAAAAACATTTAGTCCAGAGTTAAGTTATGTAGGCTTAGCACATTTTATTACTGCCATGGTTCAGTCTGGTTTTTTTCCTGGTATCCGGGTGAACTGGAATAATCTATTTTGGTTAGTTTCTCTACTTAATATGATCTAGATGCACATTGTTTCTCAGTCCTTTATACTGAAGAGTAATTCTGAGTTAGATTCAGACCTCTAAAAGTAGTTTTTATTTATTTCCATGATCCAAACCTCCTCTCTTCCCTTTTTTGTTTTGGGTCAGTTTAGAGGCTACCTAAGACCCAGGACAAGTCTTTAGATTTAGTTTTAATAGGTGCAGGCATAGTTTAGGAAAGTAGGTGTTGGACAAGAGTCACTTTGTTTCTTGATGATATGTCTGTTGGAGAAAGGTCACAAAATGGAGTTTGAGGTTATTTGGAAATCTCCATGGAAATGGTTCCTTTATAGGTTTTCAGAGCAGTCTTTACATTGTTTAAACTGGAATGTTATACTGTTTCTTTAAAATGGTTTTTAAAATGTTGCTAGGAGTTATTTCATCTTAGGACTGGACATTTTGGATAAATAAACTTTCCATTCATACCTTTAGAAAAGTTTTCTGTTATTAAAATGTTTCAAGAAAAATATTTTTAAAAATTTAAATTAATGAAATTATAAAAATGGCAACATGTTTTTTTTGTGAAGACTAGTATCATTTAATAATGCATACACTATGTTTTATCTTTGAAGAAAATTTTCATGTAGTTATTCCATATCAAAAAAAACTAGAGCACTGAGTTAATTTAATAGTATGTGTATTTTAATATTCAATTGCTAAATTAACTTAAAAATCTTTTTCTTTCAACTTGACAAAACTAGTCTGTATCCCAGCGGACTCAGTCAAAAATCAAGTAAGTGTTTCTTTTCATAAAACAGTGCATGATAAATATGCTTAAAGGGGGAGGGGAGCCCATATTTTAATAAGTGATTCCTTACAGTGTGGTTTTAAGTTTCTTAATTTTTCTTTTTAAAATAGTGTTATAGCCTTATAAAAAACTTAATTTTTTAAGACTGTTTACTGGTTAGTATTAATGTTCTACTTAAGTAAATTTAAATCATTTAAATCATTTCTCTGTTGCCATAGTATGTCACCTTTCCACCCATAAAGGAGAACATCTTTCAGTTAAATTTGTTTTATGACATAATAAGCTCATATTAGGGTTAACGGACTTGTAATTGACCTCTATCTTATATTTGAAATAAAATTTTCATAGGAACCTTCTACATGAGCTAAAAGTTAATATTGCTGAAGATAGCAATTATAATAATGAGTAAACACTACTAAGTCTTTGATTTTGGTTTTCGTTATTCATGAGCCATGTGTACAACTTGCATTCTTAGGACTGTAACAGAATCACAAGGCATTGATCTGGAGTTTTGCATCCTCACTGAATTTCAGAGACAGACTATGACACTCTCAAAGTTTTTTTCTTTAATCTAGGTGCTTTTTGACATAATTACCTAAAATGACTTAAAAATGTTACAACAAAACAATTTATTCATGTTCTTTTTGGGGAAATGAAGTGACTCCAATTACTTTGTAAACAGGGAACTTTGACTTGCCTGGTGACCATAGTGAGGATAAGAACACATAAACATCAAATGACAATTATGGAATTTGGAGCATAAAATAATTCAGCATTTGATTTAATAAGTATATTGTATAGTAAGTAGGCATATGTTTGTTCCTGAGAATATAATAGTATCAGGGTAAATAGCTCTCCCTTCAGGGAGATTATAGTCTCATTTGAAAGTGAGGATTACTACATTTTTAGAGCTTTCATTATGAAAGGTACACATAATGATAATCCCTGGACACATTGGTCTTCTTCCTGAATACCGTAAGATTTGAAGGGGAAGGAATTGTTATATAATGTTGTACCTGGCAAATGGGTAAAGTTTAAATAACTGTAGCTTGAGCTCATTTGCCTCTGTTTCTGTGCTGAGGTCTGTTTACTCCCAGCTTCAGTGAAGAGCTTGTAGTATTGACTCAGGTTGACCAGATCCACCTCAGCACTGCTGCCACTGAGCTTTCTGTGTACTCATCTGTAAAATAGGAATAGAAGTGTTTAATTCACCTTAGCATTCGGTGGAAATGAGAGTATAAAACTGTTGATAATGTATAATTAGTGGCTGTTTAGAATGATTTTTATCTTTTTTTGTTTTGGTACCTGAATTCAGGGGAACTCAACCACTGAATCACATCCCTAGCCCTATTTTGTATTTTATTTAGAGACAGTACCTTGCCATTGCTGAGGCTGGCTTTGAACTCACTATCCTTCTCTCTCAGCCTCCTGAGCTGTGGGGATTACAGGGGTGCGCCGGGTACCTGGCTTATTTTTATCTTTTTTTTTTAATATATAATTTTTTTAGTTGTAGATGTGCACAGTATCTTTGTTTGTTTATTTTTATGTGGTGCTGAGGATCGAACCCAGTGCCTCACATGTGCTAGGGAAGTGTTCTACCACTGAGACACAACCTCAGCCCTAATTTTTGTCTTTAATATTAGCTTAAGTGCAACTATATTAGAAAATATATTTTCTAATATAGCTATATTTTAATTTCTAATATATTATATTTTAAGTCCACTGGAAAGATGTGAGCATCACCTACCTTACTGTTTTCTCTTAATTAGTACAGATAATAGAAGATTAGTTACATATAATTGCTTCTGTGAATTAATAGCTGTTTTGCTGTTTTGTTCCTTAGGGTGGAGTTTTTTATCAGACCTTTTTTTTTTTGATAAACAATTTTTTAAAGTTTCTTTCCTTTTTAATAGGTATGATTGGTATCAAACAGAATCTCAAGTAATCATTACACTTATGATCAAGAATGTTCAGAAGAATGACGTAAATGTGGAATTTTCAGAAAAAGAGGTAATCTTTAAGCCATATTTTATATGGCGATTACATACTATTATTTGCCAACTTAGTATATTGCAGAATAATCTATAGCAATTTATCAGCTATATGCCATTTCTTCTTGAGATAACATGGAAGAGGCTGAATAAAATCTGAAGCATTGTTTTTTAGTTTGAGTTAAAAAATTTGAGATAAGAGCTAAATATATTTTTTTCTTTAGATTAAGGGTATAAAGCAGGAGCTGAGATTGTGGCTTAGCAGTAGAGCGCTTGCCTAGCACATGGCAATGTACTGGGTTTGATCCTCAGCACCACATAAAAATGAAATAAATGTTATTTAAAAAAACTTACGTTATAAAAAGAGTATAAAGCAGAACTTGGTTAACAATTAATAAGATATGTGATTTGGTTATACTTACATGGTGAACTTTATGAAAAAGGTCTAGTTATTAGCTGTGTGGTTTTGGAATTTACTAATTATATTTAATGAGTATGACTTTAGAACTTGGTTTCTAAGCATTAAGTAGAGAACCTTATGATAGATATTAAGAAAGGTGGTTAGAATTTAATATTTTGTGCAAGAATGATTTCTTTTTGTTACTATATCATTTGCATTTGTGTGTTGTGTTTTCTTGAGATTTAAATGTTATGTGTGATTAAATATGATAAATACTTCAAATGTTGTTTTCTGTTCTTTAAATATTTGAGAATTTACATGAAGAATACTACTGAAAGATTATTTTGAAATTCTTAAATCTGACACACTATGCAAAATGTTTAATCTGCAACATTGTCAGAGTTCTGTATTCATTTAAAATCTTTGTAGCCTTTATTATGTAAATTTACAAAATGTGTTGCTAATTTGTGTTCAATAGTTGTCTGCTTTGGTGAAACTTCCTTCTGGAGAAGATTACAATTTGAAACTGAGATTGCTTCATCCTATAATACCAGAACAGAGTACGTTTAAAGTACTTACAACAAAGGTGAGGCCATTGGAAAGGTTTTTCACCTGTAATGTTTTCAAAATATAAACCTACTGGTGAATTAATCACCTATGTGATAATAAACTTGTAAGTCCTATTTAAATTAAAAGAGACAGTTGCCAGACATGGTGACACTCCTGTAATCCAGAGACTCAGGAAGCTGAGGCAGAAGGATCACCAGTTCAGGCTAGCCTCAGCAATTTAGCAAGACCCTGTCTCAAAAAAGGGAGGGAGGAGTCGCTCAGGAAATTAAAAACAATGATTGTTTAGTATCACAGTTTTCTTATCCCCAAAATTTGAATAGTGGAATATAAAACTAATAGTTTGTGTGGTGTGTGTGTACTTATAAAGATAGCTATAGGATTTTTCAATGAAGATTTTCAAAGTGGATATAATAAAAATAGCTTATATGATTTGATACTGATATTATCTCTTCTGAAGAACTTGTCAGTTTGGTCTGTTTTAATGTATAAATACTTTTCTTACCCTGCCTTATGCAATTAAAAATAGAAACAGTTATAAAGATAAATCTACTTTTTTGTTTTATTTTTAGTTATGCTGAATTTCAGGTTACTTTACTATGAAGGAGTAATGAATAACAGTTTGAGTATATAATGTTTTAATTCCTTTGTATTTTAAAAAAGTAGAATTAATATTTATAAGATTTAAGCATCATTCAAAAGATGTAGGTAGTAGTGAATTTAGTAGGAGAAATACTGAATTGAAGATTTAAAAAATCTGTCTCTTAGCTTGTCCTGTGAATTTAGTCTAGTCACAATGACTTTGGATTAAGTATTCAGCATCTATATAGGGAGGAGTATGGGCTCTAAAATCCCTTTACCAGTAAAATTACATGAAATTGTATGAAAGTATATGATAAGTGAGTTAATAAGAATGAATGATATAAACTTTTTCCATTAGTATATGGTTTTTTATACATGAAGTAGTATTTTGTCTCTAGTTTAATATGGTTTGCCCTTTTGAAGTTTTATTTTTTTAAAAAGTATTTTTAGTTATAGATGGATGCAATATCTTTATTTTGTTTATTCATTTTTATGTGGTGTTGAGGATTGAACCCGGTGCCTCACATGTGCAAGGCAAGTGATYTGCCACTGAGCCACAACCCCAGCCCCTTGAAATTTTATTTGAAGATTGCCAAAAGTAAAGCTGATTAATTATGTGGCAGGTGTGGATCAAGTGCTCGGAATAATAGAAGGTCAGAAAAGGGATGAAATCTCACCAGGATTTTAGTCTATCACTTATTCTATTCACATAGTGTAGAATTTGTTCAATAAAATAATTCTGAGTGGGGCTGGGGATGTGGCTCAAGCGGTAGCGCGCTCGCCTGGCATGCGTGTGGCCCGGGTTCGATCCTCAGCACCACATACAAACAAAAGATGTTGTGTCCTCCAAAAACTAAAAAAAGAAAAAAAAATTAAAATTCTCTCTCTCCTCTTTCTCCCTCTTAAAAAAAAATAAAATAAAATAATTCTGAGTAATCAAGCACAAAACACTAGGTAGATTTGAGAGGAAGATAGGTCAGAAAATTATGATTTTGGTATTTTTTATATATTTCTACCAAGAGATTCTTAATGTATATGCATTTGAAGTATTATAAATGTAAATTAATTTGTGTGAATAGGTGATAAGTAACTTAAGGACTTTAATTCAGATAAAGTGTTTGAAATACAGATGAAGTTTGTATTTTAGATGAACAATGAATAATTTTTTTTGTATAACCAGGTTCCATGATATATTTTTATTTACTAAACTTGGCAGCCCTTTCTCATCCCATGCATTGTACATAACAGGTGCTTGGTACTTTTGGCGGGGGCGGGGAGTACTGAGGATTGAACTCAGGCACTCAACCTCCAAGCTATATTCCCAGCCCTGTTTTGTATTTTATTTAGAGACAGGTCTCACTGAGTTGCTTAGTGCCTCACCATTGCTTGAGGCTGGCTTTGAACTCAGGATCCTCCTGTCTCAGCCTCCTGAACTGCTGAAATTACAAGCTTGCACCATCGTACCTGGCTGCATATTTAATTCTGACCACGCTTTGCTTAGATTTTTCAAATTCTGGATTGAAGAATTTAAAGAAAGATTTCCATGTTTTAAACATATAACTCTGTTGGGCTGCTAACCTATATATTATATCTTGTAGCAAATAAATTTATAGCTTTCCATGTTTTAAACATATAACTCTGTTGGGCTGCTAACCTATATATTATATCTTGTAGCATACAAATTTATAGCTTTTCTTAATGATATTTTGAAAGAAATAAGTGATGAGATCTTTTGAGTCCTTTCCAGTTTCATACAGCAGAGGGAGATAGTGTTTTAAAATATTGAAAATGAAATCATTGTTACTGAGTGATGGTACTTAAGGAAAAGTACAGAAATAATTTACTTTTCATGTATTTTTGTATATCTTGAACCTTGTATGAATTAAGGAAATGATGCATTTTGCTTAGGAGAAATGCTTAAAATAAGATTCTGTTAAAAATCTAGTTTTACAGGAACTATTTCTTTTCTTTGAGAGTCCTGTTTTTCCCCATCTTCCACGTTGAATGAATGTTGTGTATCTGTGTGTAGCCAGTTAACTTATTTGTGTGAAAAATAATAATTTGTGATGAAAACAGGAAGAGGTGGGATCCTTAAACTAATGAAATAGTATTTAAGTATTTCCAATGTAGTATCTAGAACATTTTTTCTAGCCAGACTATATTTTTTCAGTATCTTTGCTAGTTATTTCTACCATTACATTGCACTTACAGTTATGAATACAGTTTACATGTCAGCCTGTTGATCCACTTTCTAAAATTAAGAAACCATCATGTTTCTTTTGTTTCCTGATGTTAATTTCATGACATTATTCTCTGGTCATAGTCTCAGTATTGTGGTTTCGGTGTCAACTATGTTGTGAAATATTCTTAAGAATTAGACTTCTCAATCCTTTGGGGTAAATKTACCTTTATAGAAATATTCTTATATTCCTATTTATACTCTTTTGGGGGGGGGCAGGTACTAGGGAGTGAACCCAGGGGCACTTTACCACTAAGCTACATTGTTAGTTTGAGACAGGGTCTTGCTCAGTTGCTGTGGGACTAGCTAAGATGCTGAGAGTGGCCTCAAACTTGTGATCCTGTTGCCTTAGCTGGCTCTTTCCAGAGTCATTGGAATTAGAGGCATGAGCCACCATGCCCAGCTTTATTTTTAGTCTTAAGTAATTTTTTATATTATATATTACAAAAACAAAAAGTTGTTGTGTTATACAACATGGAACCATGGTAAATAAAAATGTGTGCTTTTACTGGAGACAAAATAATAACCTCCTCGTTCCTTTTTCACCACTAAAATTTGAGCAGTTTTAGAATGAATTCCTTTTCTTAATGCTCATAGAAGCAAGAGAATATATAGAAAATTCCAGAGATAGGGTAGAAGAGTAGGGATATCTGGGCAGGCTACTTGTGTTTGTCAGTATGTAAATGTGGGGGTGTTTGGATTATAGCTTTGTTTTGCTATTAATATTGGAATAATAGTGAGATGTTGTGTTTTATTTTTACTGAATTAGTTGCTGATGTCCACAAATTGTGGATCTTGGAATGTACTCTTTCTTTTCCATTAATGCATGTTTGTATATTTTATAAAGAAATATTTTGCTATATATACACTCTCTTAATGTCTGTTAAACTTAACCATTCATTATGGCTTCCCCCCCCCCATACCATTAAATATTTTCCAGCAAAATATTTTACTGCATACATGTACTATATCTGTATTGTTTGGCCTATGCCAAATTAAAATAGTTATTTATCACATACTAGACACTATACTGTATATCATGTAATTTTCACAATGACTATATAGTATATATATTTTTATTACCAGTTTAAAGGTAGAGAAACCAAACCCAGAGATGTTAAATAATTTGCCCAGTTTTTTTCCAGATGTTTATGATGATGAAGATATTTGTGATTGCATTCATTTGTTATGTGCCAGATATAGTTCTATAGTCTTTTTGTACATGATATTTAATCCTCATAAGAACCCTATATGGTATAAGCCTTGTTATTCCCATTTCAAAGGAGAAGCTAAGGCTCACAGAGATTAATATACTTGCTTGTAAGTCATATATCCAACAAATAGCACCTCTTTGTGATTCTTTCTAATTACACAATTAATTGGTTTTGCCTTGTTCTCGGTCTGAAGAAATAAGTGAAAAGTCTAGCAGAAAATGTATTTCAAGCAAATTATTCCATAATTACATTCCCTCATTTCTAAAATATGGATGATAATCTTCTTTTGTAGTGTGGTTTTATTAAATGACATGACATGTGAAGCACACAGAGTATATAAGTGCTCAATAAATGTTATTACTACTGTTGTTGGTTGTTTTTTTTTTCTCCCTGATTATTTAGATTTTTATTCAGGCTATAAAAGCAGTAAATGTGTATAGAAATTTGGGAAAGTGTGACGCAGCTGAGAGAGTAGTTACTGAAGACTCATCACTAATAGCATTTTAATATACTACCTTCTAAATATCTCTATTTCTTTGCATGGGGTCTGTCACTACACATTGTATGCTTGGGCCTCTCAAATCCTTGTTCAGGTGCCAATTGTCGCAGCCCTCTCATCTCTCAGCTAAGACCATTAATTAAGGAGATATCAGGTGCTCAGGAGCAATGAGGGATAAAGAAAAGACAGACACACATAGGGAGAAAAGGCTGGGGCCAGGTGGGTAGCCAAGCCCTTGGTGAGGCTTGACAGACTCCAGAACTAGCTCAGCAAGTTTATTTTATAGGTTTCGTCAAAAGGTTATTTGTGGGAAAATTTCAGTAAAGCAGGCAATCTAAAGGCCACAGGACTGGCAAAATGTTAGAGTCATCTTGTTTTGCTCAGAATTCTCTATCAGGCCTTGACTAATATAGAGCCATACCTCCCTGGCCGGCATTACTATAGCAACTGGGGCATGTTGACCTGTACCTTCATACAGCTAGCTTCCAGTGCAAATGCAACCATGAGAGTCAGACCATAATTCAAATCACCACTCTTCACAATTATATACACTGGAATTTTTCGTTGTTTTATGAGAGAACAAAAGCTGTTTCCTTATGAGCACAGTGCCTGGCACTCAATAAATACTTAAATTAAGCAGTTAGAAATTTGCCTTTCTTACAATTTTTTGTATTTTAAAGAATGGTTATAGTGACTTGAGTGAAGCCAACTATTCCGGGCCTGTAATTCCATCATCTCAGGAGACTGAGGCAGCAGGATCACAAATCTGAGATTAGCCTAGACAATTTAGTGAGACCCTGCCTCAAAATAATATTTTTTTAAAAGCTGGGGATGATACTAGGGAATGATATTGGCCAATTATATTATTATATTGTGTGCATATATGAATATGTAACGAATCCCAAAACTACATGCACTTACAATGCACTAATTAAAAAACTCGGGGGGGGGCGGGGGCCACGGGCCACGAAAGGGCTAGGGATGTAGCTTAGTGGTAGAGTGCAAAGCACAAGTCCTTGAATAGAATCTCTAGTACCATGGAGAGGGCTGGGGGACACAGATTTGAGTTTAAGAATAAACAAGAGGTATCAGTCTGGCCTGCAAAGACTGAGCTACTGCTCCAGTATTGGACAAAGGGTTTTGTGGTACCAATTAAATTTGCAAAGAGTAGGAAAATTTTGGAAAGGCTACATTCTAAAGATAGAGGCACAGTTATTTAATAACTGTAACCTTGAGGCAGGTTAATCTCAAAAGTTTGCCAGTAAACTGCTTTGGGTTCTTTAGACTTCTGGAGAGAATTCCTTCACTGCTAGTCTGTAGCACTGCTTCTTAAGAAGCCAGTGTCTTTATGCTATGATTACTTAGAAGTAGTAATGTCTTCTTTTTTTTTTTTTTTTAAGAGCGCACGCGAGAGAGAGAGAGAGAGAGAGAGAGTCTTTTTTTTTTTTTTTTTTTTTTTTTTTGGGAGAGAGAGAGAGAGATTTTTTTTTTTTTTTTTTTTTTTTTTTTTGTAGATGGACACAACACAATGCCTTTATTTTTATGTGGTGCTGAGAATCGAACCCAGGACGTGCCCGTGCTAGGCGAGCACTCTACCACTGAGCCACAATACCAGCCCAAATGGCTTCATGGAACCTTGAAAACTTTGCCTGTGCATATAAGAGCAACATTCAAACAAATCAAAGATTTAAGTTAGAAGGCTGGGGTTGTGGCTTAGTGGTGGAACACTTGCCTGGCATGTGTGAGGCACTGGGTTCAATTCTCAGTGCCACGTATAAATAAATAAAGGTGCACTGATAACCAAAAAATATATATTAAAAATGATTTAAGTTAGCTTTTAAAGTATTTTTTTACTTAAATGAAAATAGAATGGTTTATTAGTGTTTACAATAAAAAGTTTCTGAAATTGGACTATAATATTAGAAGTATCTGCCAGAAATGTCAAGACTTCAAACTTCATTTTTAAGAGCATGTATAAGCATTGAAAGCGAAGTAGGTATGAAAAAGAATTCACAGAAAATTAACCCCCTCCCATCCCTGTTTTCACCTTTTAAAAAGCTGTTTTACATGGTTTATTCGGTACTGCTATTTTAATGAATGGAATAAGTATAATTTCAGGCTTAGGTCAGTTTGTCTCACTTGAAGCAGATTGTTGCTGAGAGCTTTGACTATCTTTATTTAAAGGCCTTTTTGTTCATACTGCACAATTCCTCAGATTACGGTGGCTTTCAGTAAATGTGACTGCAAGTATGTGCTGCTCTTAAAGTGAAAAAATGAACTTTTATGTAAAAATGCATGTAGCATAAGGATATGAAGTGGGAATGTACTTTAGTACGATGATGTACACACTGCCATCTGGGTTCTTGATTCTATTTGAAAGTGAAAGAAGCAAGATGCAGGTAGAAGAAACATTACCAGGAATTGCCGATTTAAATGAGTTATCTGATTAAAAAGAAGTCAGAGAACAAAGGGGTGAATAGGCTGCTCTTTGTTATATCTGTCTCTCCCATTTACAGAAGTAATAATCCTTTTCATAAAAGTATTACAATGTAAAATTTAATTTGATTCTTAATTTAATCTGCATAATATTATTTGATGCAGTTTACTATAATGTTTACACTGAAAATACTGATTTTTGCCAATCTAAAAATGGAGATGGGAACATTATTTGAATAGGAAAAAAAAAGGTAGAGGTGAGTGAATATATGAGGAGTAAGGGTAGATGCTGGGGACAAGCCTTGATGAGAGTAAAAGTTGCTATTAGGATACTTGTTTTCTTTTTAACATTTGAAGTCTATGTATTCTGCTCTTTTTCCATCTAGTCTTCACTGCTCTTATATAAATTCTGGACTTAGCAGATTGGTGTTTTTCATACTCCCTGATGTACTCTGGCCTTTTGTGTCCCCAGAGCTCCAGTTTAGGCCATTCTCTTTGCCTCTGGAGACTGGGTTACCCCTTCTATCCTTGCAAACATTATCTACCCCTCAGCACCCTTTAAACTGCGTGAATCCTTCACCTTTTGCAGCTGGTGTGATTTCCTGAGCTTTTGACATGTATTTGCCTATTTTGTGACTTTAAGTATCTCATATATTTCCAAATGGTCAAAGATATGTCATTAATATTTTTTAAATTCCCCACAACCTTAAAGAGCATACCTATTCATTGTGGGTGTTTAGCACAAGTTGAACATTCCTAATATGAAAATTTAAAGTTCAAAATCAAACACTTTTTGAGTGCTGACGTGAGGTCACAAGTGGAAAATTTACTCCTGGCCTTATGTTGCAGGTTACAGTCAAAATGGAGGTGCACTAAAATATTGTATAAAATTAGTTTCAGACTATGTGATTAAGGAATACATAAAACATAAAGGAATCTCATTTTTAAACTTTGGTCCCATCCCCAAGATATCTTACTATGTACATGCAAATACTCTAAAATCTAAATTCTAATGTACTTCTGGTCTCAAGCATTTCAGCAAAGGGGTTTTCAACCTGTAGTTATTTGATGAATGAATGGTTGTAAAATAATATATTAGAATATGCTGTATTATTTTTACACAGTAGAATAAATTACTCTAAAGCAGGTTGGTGCACATGTGAAAACAGCAAATTCCTATAGAAATTGGGTTACTCAATGCTGGCATTATTGTCATTTGGGGCTGGATATTTCTGTTGTAGAAGGTTTCCCTGTACATTATAGGATGTTTAGTACCATCCCCTGGTCTCGATGTCTGCACCAACCTTTCCCTTACCCTAGGTGTGACAACCAGCAATGTCCATAGACATTGCTAGATGTCCCCTGGGTGAGAGGATCATCCCTAGTTGAAAACACTGCTTAAGAAGAAAAGTAAGCATTTAAGTCTTGAAACTCAAATTGTAGTGTTTATGTCGTTTTTTTTGGAAGGATGAATTTTAATAGTAGAAACAAAATTAAAATTTTTTTAGTGTTTATTTTTTAGATGTAGATGGACACAACACAAAGCCTTTATTTTTATGTGGTGCTGAGGATCGAACCTCGGTCCCGCCCGTGCTAGGGGAATGCTCCACCGCTGAGCTACAATCCCAGCCCCTAAAAATAAGTATTTTATAATTCTTCAAATTTAACCTTTTTCTTTTAATTTTTTGTTTTAATTAGTTATACATGACAATAGAATTCATTTATGCACTTTGATATACATAGTTGGGATATAATTTCTCATTTTTCTGAATGTACATGTTGCAGAATCATGTTGGTCATGTAGTCACATATAAACATACAGTAAAAATGTCTTTCATTCTACTAAGGAAACTATCATTTATAAAACTTCAATGACTTAAGAAAATTGCATTTTTACTGTTTTATTTATTTTACATTTGATAATGGATTTTATTTGGTGTTTCCTCTAGATTGAAATTAAAATGAAAAAGCCAGAGGCTGTGAGATGGGAAAAGCTAGAGGGGCAAGGAGATGTCCCTACTTCAAAACAGTTCATAGCAGGTTTGTTTTCTGGCCTTGATAAGCTTTAAATTTGTATTATGTTGTGTGGTTGAAATTAAATAGTAATGAACATTTTTTCTGCTTCCATTATTTATATTTCCAAGATAAGATATATTGAGTATAATAAGGTTGCTGTGTAATGAATACAAAGTAGCCTTGTGACTATTCTAACTTCCTACACTCTAAGAATACAAATGATTGGCAGCAAAATCCCAGAGAAGTTGGGATTGCTCACCATGTCAGTTTATGACATTATTTGGAATTTGTTTGATTTTGTTTGTTGCCCTTTCTTATTACTGCTTTTTGCATTGTAAGTTAATTTGTTTGCTCTGCTGATATATTTTCTCATCTTCCCCGCCTCTCTTTCTTGTTTATTCCTTTATGTTCCTTCTACCAATATTGTCAACTCTAATTGCCTTAAATTTCAGGGCTTCGTTGAATAAGGTTTCTAGCCCATTTCACTATATTAATTTAGAGAAGGATAAAAATAGGTAATAAGTACTAAAGAAAAGCCTAGGAGAAGAGAGGAAAGTAGGGTCGATTGGGTAGCTCTTTACGGGATGTACAGCATTTCATTGAGGTCAATTCTAACCACGTGCAATAAGTAGATAAGCATTTTTCTAATGAAATAATTAATCTGCAGGACACTCTTAGAACTATAACCTAAGATTGTATTTTTCTGTAATAACCTCATTAGTAAATGGAGAGAAATTTCTTTTTGATGTATTAGTTAATGCTCTGATTTGATGACTGAATCAAGTTAATATTGTGTCTCAGCTACTTTCAGATTTTGCCCACTTTCTTCTGTAGCAGAAAACATATTTCCTGTGGCCACTTTTAGGAAATGGGTTGTTCAGTGGATCATTTATGTGTGCATGTATTAATTAAGAAGTAATTTTAGATGCATACAGAATTTGCAAAATAAGAGTTCCCATAGATTCTTAACCCCACTTGCTCCAATGATAAAATCTTAATTAATTTGAGGTATAATTAGCAAAACCAGGAAATACATACCAACAGGTAATTTTTAGGGAACTTAAAGTATTTTTGTTTGATAATTGTAAGACAATAAAAAAGACATGCTTCTTTTGTGACTAACAGATTTTTGAACTTATGATTTTATGTAGTGCAAAACTTTTCTAAGAGTAGTATCTCACATAACAGCCATGTATAATAGGCAGCCCAGCATTATTCCTTCTGTTGTACAGGTTCAGAAAGGTTAATCAACTTGCTTAAGATTGCTCAGCAGGTTTCATTGTCTAGGACTAAAAGCCAGGTCTTCAGAGTATAGGTCTTGTTCTGTTAGCCCCATGTGAGATACTTTTTGTTGCTATATTTTCAACATGGAAATGATCTCTGCTGGCATGAGTATCTTTGTAGTTATTTGAGTAAAGAAGTTAGGTTACTTAGTCTATAGTTCATCAACCATCTCCATGTGTTAAAAATTTTTATGAGATTAAAAATCAAGGTTTTTTTAGTGTTACAGTTACTAAGTTTTTTTCTAAATTCAATACCTTAAGATATTCAAGATGCTATTCTTCTTGTCCTGTTACATTTTTGTAAGGAATTAATATGCTTGTCAGATTTCTGTGTACTGCAAGGTGGAGACTGTAGATAAGGGCAAGTCACTTAACCTATCTGGGCCAGCTTTCTTATCTGTAAAGTGGAGATTAAACCTCTATTTCCATCTTTCCAGGGAATGAGTATTAGAATTAATTAAATCCATGTTTCCTAGGCTCTTAACTTACCATGGCCTGCATTTTTTTGTTTTCTTCGTTTACTATTGAAAATGTACAAAGAAGGGGGGATTTCTAGTAGATGGAAGATGGATAGGGTTTTTAAAACAATATACCTGCCATGAATAAAATCATATAGGGTCTTGGGTTTGGTTTTATTTCAGGGGTTTATTTTTTTAATAACTTCTAATTATTGAAATAATCAGTTTTATTTTTCATTTATTGCAGTACATTAGATTTGCTTTTATAATATATTAATTTTTGTAGAAGAAAAAAAGTGGTTGATTAAAAGAAAGTTAGTAAATTAAAGCATGGTAATAATACCAGCACACAACAGACATGGGAAAAAATTAAAGCTATTTTATGTAAATGAGTGGTGGTAAATTCCAAACAATACAAAGAGAGAGGGGAAAAGAATTTCAAGTAGATATTGAAAATGCATAAAGGTCTTAAGGAAAGAGCTTGGCATGTAGAGAAAATGACAGAAGCTGTTTTACCTTTTTCATTGCTCTGACCTTGGGTTTTGTTTTGATGGAGGGTGGGCAGGGAGAAAATTGGTTTATAGGTGTAAAGAAAGGATGAAAAACAGAATGAATGTTTAGTAGTTTCTGTATTAATATATAGAAATAAAGAAATTTCAAACCAGGATTTTTCAAAGCCTCATAGTTGTATAGTCCGGTACAGTAACTGCTAGCCACATGCACATGATGAGCACATGAAATATGACTAGTCTGCGTTGAGATGTACTAAATTGTAAAATATGTACCAGATTTTTATGACATGGAAAAAAATATAAAACATTATATTTTTTTATTTCATGTTGAAATGCTATTTATATGTTAGATTAAATAAAGTACATTATTAAAATATATTTTACCATGATTGTTTTTAGTAACATACTCCTAGAATTTTAAAATTATATATGTGGTTACATTTGTGGTCATCATTTATGTCTTCATTGGATAGTGAACAGAGCTGCTCTTATACCTACTAGGTCAGTTTGTTATTTTTTAATTATTTGTGTGCCCAAATCTTCATTCTTTTGATTTTCTGGGCAGCCCTGGCTGTATCATAAGTCCCTGGGCCACCAACCTTTTCTATCTGTAAGCAGCCTGTTTTACCCCAGTGTGCTCTATAAATACTGTTATTTTCTATACTGTGCAGATATTATAGTTATTGTCAAGTATTGTATTTGTAAATAAGTAATATATTTCAACTTAAAAATTCTTTATTGTTGAAGCAATCTTATTTTTAATGTGGGGAGAGAAGGAGTCTTAACTCACTCTTGTAGTAGCTTCTGTGATCATACTTTCAGTTTACTCTGAAAGATACATGAGTTCCCTAGAAAAACCACATTTTTATTTTATATTTTGTTTCCCATGGTGAACTCAAACTATTGGGCGTAAATGATCCTTCCCACTTAGCCTTCTGAATAGCTTCAGTTATAGGCATTTGCCATTGCATCTTGTTCCTAAAATGCCACCCTTTTTTGGTGTGTGTGTGTGTGTGAGAGAGAGAGAGAGAGAAGGAGAGAGATACTGGGTATTTAACCCTGAGCCATCTGCCACTGGGCTATATATCCCCAGTTCTTTTTAAAAAATTTTTAACTAGGGTCTTCTTAAGTGTCTGAGGCTGGTCTCAAGCTTGTGTCTTTCTCATCTCCCAAGTTGGTGAGATTATAGGCATGCATCATCACACCCAGCAAAAGCCACATTTTTAACATTAAAATCTTATTTATAAGAGAAGTATATTAAGCATCTTTTTAAAATAATGTTTTTATTTAAAAAACACTTATTGCAAAAATGAAATTTGGTGACCTAAATTGCTCACATATTCTGTTTATCATGGTCAAAGTGTTACATATTCTTGGTATAATCAAAACACATCAATTAATTTCTTCCTCCATTTTCACTTCACAGATGTAAAGAACTTATATCCATCTTCATCTCATTATACAAGAAATTGGGATAAATTGGTTGGTGAGATCAAAGAAGAAGAAAAGAATGAGAAGTTGGAGGGAGATGCAGCTTTAAACAAACTATTTCAGCAGATCTATTCAGATGGTTCTGATGAAGTGAAACGTGCCATGAACAAATCATTTGTAAGAACATCACTTTTTTTTTTCTCCCAAATATTATGGGGGAGTGAATTTTAGACATTTTTAGTAGATAATTTGACACCAAATTACTTACACTGTGCCTGGAGACCTTTTTGAATGGGCTTTGTCCAAATGTTTCTTCTTGCTCTAAACATAGAGTAGTTGTTGAGGAAGTTGAAAACTTGTAGAAGAGATGAGAACAAGTGATTATTTTATATATATATATATATGTGTGTGTGTGTGTATATGTATATGTGTATATGTATATATGTATATGTATATATATAATTTTTTTTTTTAATTAGTGAGTTAGGGAATTATCTTAGTTGAATCTGTCATAGTAGCTGAGTTAGCTTCCATTATTTACCTCCTAGAATCTCTTGTCTCAGTGTTAAGAGATGAAGAATATAGAGGGCAAATTTCCAAATTGTGTTTAGCTAGTGGAAAAGTACACATTAGTTATTCATTGCTTTAATAATTTTTCTGTTGATTAGGAAAATTCAGGCTTTTGCTAGGGCATCATGAATACCATCCGAATCAGATTGAGATTTAGTGACAGTTTATCACTGTGGAACTATGTAAATTATTTTTCTTGATGTATTTTTCATTTGACTTTTTCAAGGAGAAATACTTCAGTCTTCCCAGAAAGGAAGTCTTTCTCACTATTAACTTTTAAATGCATTCTAGACAAAATAGCACTGTGTCAAATCAAAGATGTAATAGAGAATCTGAATATATTTTTATACTGAAACTTTGATAATTTTAAGTAAACTGTATATACTTATAAAACAAGCGATTTCTGTGGCAACATTGACCTTAAACCAAAAACTTGCTTCTGTCTTGTGGGAAAACAAACTAACCCCAAAATACTCTGTCCTGTGTGCTCTCCCAGTCTAATTAGAATAAATAAAAAATTGCATTTTTATTACACCAAAACAACAAACATCATGAAGTTTTACTATTTTTATATACATTTATTCATTTCCCTTTAACAGTGGAACACGTTCTGAGAAGTACATGTTTAGGTGATTTTTGTCATTAGTGCAAATATCATTGAGTGTATTTATATAAACCTAGATAGTGTTAGGTCAGTCACTTGATGGGTAGGTTTTTTTTCCCCCCTCATGTTATCCCATGTTGACCTACATCTCCAGCCTAATGTGGCCTCTTGATAGAATCAAGAGATGGAATCAGGAGATGTAAGAAGCTCCTGCTAGTATAATATGGTATGTTGTTTTTATATCAGTGGCAGCACAATGGATTTGTTTATACCAGTAATGTGTCACCCTATGCTGTTACAACTGCTATGATGTTATTAGGCAATAGGAATTTTTCAGCTCCATAATAATCTTATGGTAACACTGTCCTATGTATGTAGTTCATTGTTGACAAAACATCATTATATAGCACATGATCGTATGAATATGCTAGGGTCATTGTTAGATGATATATTCAGTAGGTAATTAAGTAGATAACCAATTCTTCACTGAGACACTGTTGGTTGTTAAAATATTAACCGTGGTTAAAAAATTTTTTTTCAGAGGAAATTTGTTTGTGTTTGACACTGGGGAGTATTAATTAGAGATCCTTAAAGTTCTGCTTAACTAGTATAGAAAGAGTTTATTTTGCTTGGTCTTCACTGTCTTCAGTAAAAAATTACAGCATCACTTTTCATTTGAAGGTGGTTTTTCCACATATACCTTTGTTGATTAGCAGAGGGGAACATGGTGCTTGATGTGGTAATATATGTGTACACAGTACTTCTTCCTAATTATTCTAGTTTCCTTTTCACATTTTCATGGAATTTGTTAATTTCTCTGAAATGCCTCAGTTTAAAAAAAAATACTTGAGTCATGTTGAGCTATATAATAGCCTATATTTGAGACTATAGTTAGAATGGTTTTAGGAAAATAATTCTGTTTTGATTATATGGCCCAGGAATTAACCTATTTTTATTTTTTATTCCAGATGGAGTCTGGTGGTACAGTTTTGAGTACCAACTGGTCTGATGTAGGTAAAAGGAAAGTTGAAATCAATCCTCCTGATGATATGGAATGGAAAAAGTACTAAATAAATTAATTTGCTATCATTGTATTGCATATACTCACCTAATGCCCATTGTGTATTGGTGTTGCATTCTTGAATTTTGAACACTGAATATCATTTTGAAAGATTATACCTCTTTACCTCTTTGTGCTTTAGAAATTATTTTCCTTCAAGTATTCTAAGAGTCTAATGAAGAATGAAGATCACATTTTTATCACTTCTGTCCTTAAGGATTTCAAACTTGCTGAAACTGAATTTGCTACTAGATAGATTAGTTCTGTCTAGTTGTGAGGGTGAAGAAATCTTTAATGGCATATCTTGGATTATTGCCTTATTTTTGATGCAGTATTCTGTTAATAATTTATTAAACCTGGCAACTTTGGTTTAGCATAAATTTTTCAAATTCAGTGTTATATCGTGTTTGCTTTTAAAAACTGCTTTTGGAGTTGTAAATACAATTTTTCTATGAAAGTTTGGTTTATTTACCTTAAGTTTTTAATGAGAACTATGAGAAATTATTTATCATAGGAAATTCCCATTTAATTATTTTTATGGGAAGTATTTGTAATTGCACTGAGATTTTGGTCCTACCTTCCAAATTCCTGTATAAAAAAAACATAGATCCTTGAATTTAATACACAGCAAATTTAACTATAGTTAGGATAGTCTGTGAAGCCAAGGTAAAGAAAGATCTAGAAAAGCCCAGCTTCTCTTTTTTGTTGTCTTTACCACAGTGGTATTTTTGAAGCTATAGCAGTGATGGAGTTTTTTATTTTTATTATGTTTTTTCTTTACTAGAAAATCTCTGTTCTGGAATCCATACTTGTTTCAGTGGTTATTGGTAGCTACTTTAAAGTAAATTAATGTGTATATGTTGAGTATTTACTCTGTGCCTAAAAACTATAGATACCATGGGAATATGAAAACTAAAAGACATGATCATTAATTTCAGAGTTTATAATGTAATGGAGAAAAAGAAAGTGAACATTGATGAAATAATTATAGAATGCTTACTGAGCTCATTGTAAATGTAGATGGGAAAAATTGTTCTGTGATTAAAATCCTTTAGTCTAAGCTCTTTTATAAGATGTAGGTCATGGATGACTTGTAGATCTCGTGTTATATTCTCACCATAATATTTTTAGCCTTTATGCCCTAGAGGTTGATCTCTGCTGTGTTAGGTGTCACTGACATTTTTGTGGCAAGACACTGCCTAGAACTGAGAGTAGGATGAATGAGAAGCAAATTGGCCATCATTTCAGCCTAAGAGTAGATATTCAGCTTCTTCCTTCTATGCCTTTATGTGGGATGTAGAAGAGTTCATAAGAAAATTGATGGTAGCGTGATCCTAGATAATGTTCAAACCTGTTGTTAAACTTGTTAAAGCATGTTGCAGTTATTGCTTTTCCTTCTATCCTACAAACTACTTTTTTATGTTCTCTGAGTATGGCTATTAGCTAGATTTGTTTAATATTGGCAGGATTCAGTATTTTGCTGGTCTAAATGGAATTCCTAATATATATGAGATCGAAAGCATTATAAAATGCATGTGATCTAAATATGTTAGATTTGTAAATCAAGGTAGTTTTGAGAGAAGTAGGCCAAACTGCTGTGCAAAAAAGTACTACTGTGGTTCTGCTATTATTTCACCCTTCTAGATAATGGAAATTTGTAAGCTCACAGAAAGTTTTAAAACATTCTGATTAAGAGCCTCTTACTGTATTCTTACTCTCTACTAATCTCAAAGTACCTGTTATTAATTGGTCTCATTTTCTTTCTAGATTCTCATTTTCATTTTTCAAGTTTTGGTTCTCAATCTTCTAAATTGTTCCTTCAGAATGTACTTTTTTCTGCATTAGTGTTTCTTTTCCTCTTTTTAAGGTTTAATTCTGGAATGTATTTTTTTTCCTTAATCATAGAGACTTCATCTGTTCTGATTTCTGTCATAATTTGCACCTTGATGAGTTTCCAGAATTCTCTGTCTTTAAAGACTTTTTTTTTTTGTCTTCAAAGACTTTTAAATGAGATAATCTGCTTCTTTGAACTCTGCTATGTAGTGATCACTTTGAATGGCCATACAGTAGGTTCAAAACAAGGTCCATTTTGACAATTTCTTGTCTGTCCTAATACCCATTAAGAGTTGGTTGCCAACTAACTAGTTTGACACGTTGACACTTTCTGGTCATTTTTTCAAGATATGTTTTCTGTCTTTTTGTGTAATGGAGAGAGAGGATGGTTTGCATTAATAACTACAATTAGTGTGTGTGCTTGGGTAGGTAAATTAGTGTGTGTATTGCTGAGGATCATAGGCCTTTACACGTGCCATGCAAGCACTCTACCACTAAGCCACATTCCCAGCCCCACTACAATTATTATTATTATTATTATTATTATTAGGTACTAGGTATTAGACTCAGGGCACTCAACCACTGAGTCACATCCCTAGCCCTTTTTGTATTTTATTTAGAGACAGGGTCTCACTTAGTTGCTTAGGGCCTTGCTAAATTGCTGAGTCTGGCTTTTAATTCCTTAGCTTCCTGAGCTGCTGGGATTACAGGTGTGCACCACTGTTCCTGGCCTTGGTCTTTTATATTATTCCCTTATTTATATGTGGTGCTGAGAATTGAATCTAGTGCCTCACACATGCTAGGCAAGTGCTCTACCACTGAGCCACAACCTCAGCCCTATAATTATTTTTAACACTTTTGTTTATTTTAGACTTACTATAATCACTAATTGCAGAACATTGAAGCATTATTGTTAATGTATCCCTATGCTTGGAAAAGCTTTGTATTTTCTTGGCGGTCTAACTTATAGAAGACAAAAATAATGGAACTGTCCTATGTAAATTTTCTAGGTGAATTCAAATAAACATTTATTAAAATGAGGTGTATCGGCATTTCATAAGTAATTTAGATAGAAATTTTAATTCAGTATTTGGATGTTGTTTTGTTTTCCCCCCATTTAATTCCATATCAAATGAGGTAATTGATCTCTGAGGTAGTCTCAATGACCCAGAGCAAAATTGTATATTAATTTATCATCTGATCAGCCTAATACACTTATAATCTCTCTGGGATCTGCTTTGTCCAGATTTGTTTGTATCTATTACTAACACTTCCAAAAATAGAAAATTCCTGGGTTGGGTTTATTTTTGTTAAGTACTACAGCCACTTATACTTTGTAACCAGCTCTAAACTTGAAGCTATGTAGTCTTAAGAGGAATCATCCACATTGATCTGGTTTCCTTTGTCTCTGATTGTGTATTTTCTTAATAAAAAGATTGTTTTCCATTAAGAGACTTTATTCTGGAAATTTGTGGGCATATTGCAATTGCTGATATACCCACAATGTTACTATTTGGGGCCATCCTTGTTACTGCTTCTGGAATTAATTTACCTCTTGGCCTCTCTTCTTACATTAGTAAACTTGCCTGCCACCCCAATCGTCTAAAATCATACACATTGTGAACCCATAAGGTAAACAGTAGAAGATACTGTGTGACCGCATTTTTCCATAGATAGGGTGATACTACCTTGTTTATAATCCTTTGGGGGTAGTGATAGCGTCCCATTATGACAGATCAGAAAAATGAGGCCAATTTTGGGCTGGGGTTGTGGCTCAGTGGTAGAGTACTTGCCTAGCATGTGTGAAACACTGAGTTTGATTCTCAGCATCACATATAAATAAATGAATAAAATAAAGGTCCATCACAACTAAAAAAAAAAAAGAAAGAAAAGAATAAATTCTTTGCCCAAATTCATTTCATTGGTAAGTGATGAAGCTGGAATGTGAAACTAAACTCAACCCATGCTTTAGACAACTGTGGCTCCCTCTTCATGTGAATGATTTGGTTTGGCAGTGAATCATTTTTATTACTGAATCAGCCATCTGAAAATGAAACAAGTTGAGATTTATTTTTTGTACATTGGGAAGGTATATTCCTAAAGATCACAACATTATCCTCACTTTGTTAAATAAGATAGCTTATTAGGAAACCAAGGATCTTTCCTTTTATAGAAGGTTCTGCAAATAATTAGTCAATGAGGGGGATACTATTGTCATCCCAGTTTTATAGATGGGAAAACTGGCATAAAGCAGTACCCGTTTCTGCCCCATTGGCTTTTATGAGTTCATATAATTTCACAATCATCTATTCTAATTCTAAAAGCTGAAAGTACCAGGTTATTTTGGTGCATGTGTATGACAAGTGATATAAAACCTGGCCTCAAGTTATAATATGAGTAGTCATATTTTGCTGCAGAAATAATATGTTTAATTACAGAAAGCTAGCATAGATCCTGCTGACATTGTTAAGTTAATGATATATCTGTATGGCATTGCATAATTGTGAATTCAGAAACACATCTTTACCCTAAGGATTTTGACTAAGAATTACATACCTATATGTGTGAATTGCAAAGAACAGTGTTTAATGTTACAGATAACATCAGATGATCTTACATGAATTTAGGTGAGAGATTTAAGGCCTAGAGAAAGACTTCTGTGTTGTAAGTTCAGTCTTTGAAGATTTGGGGTTCTGTCTGAGGAAAGCCAATTAAAAATTGTTGATTCAGATCCGAGCATCCCCTCCCAAAAGTAAAGCAAAAATTATTAAAATTTCTAGTTTTGAGCGCATAAAAGTTCATAGAAAACATAATACTTTTGAATGAATACTGTAAATTTTGCCACCAATACTTTAAAAATCAAGTATAATAAATGGAAGAAGAAAATACAAACTATGTAGAGGGACTTCCCTAGAAGTCCTCTGCTTTTTATTTCATTTTAACTTTTTGGTACTAGAGATTGGTAAAGCAGGGGTCCTTTACCACCAAGCTACTTCCCAAGTTCTTTTTATTTTTTATTATATGACAGGGCCTCACTAAGTTGCTGAGGCTGGTCTCCAACTTGTGATCTTCCTGCCTCAACCTCCTGAGTTACTGGGATTACAGGGGTATGCCACAGTGCCAGGTCCATTTTATCTTTCAAAACAGAGTAATACTATTGGATTGTAAAACAAGGTACAGATTGGTACAGTTGTAAACCACACTGTAAACCACATTTTGACTTGTTCTGATTAGCTAAGAGAAGCTGATGTTTTTATATGCAGGAGTTTATCAGTCCTGTTCTCCTCTCACACACCAAAGAATCTGAAGCAGGCACTACTGTGGATTCACTGTCAAGTTAATGGTTTTTCTACTGGTTTTTGCTGGTAATCTGTACTCCAGCATTACCCTTTTCTATGGCTTTAATTGAGCATTTTCATAAGTAAGCTAACTTAGGTTAGAGATATAGTCAGTGTACATTAAATATGCTAAGAGGTGAATACATTTTCTTGGCTTTATTATTATGTCTATTATTAGATGCCAAAGGGTTTTGTATTGTTTTTTCCTGCTTTACTTCAGAG